ACTAGATAGATGCTGCGTCCAGTTAACTTTTAATGCCTAAACTTAGTCAGTTTTACTACTACTTAGAAGGCAACATCTTTTTTATTGTGTTGCTCAGCTCCTAGCTACATATGTGCTTATCTAGCATCTACGCTGAGCATGTGGGTGGCTGTGGAAATATGAAGCGTGTGGGAGGAAATGAGAAGGCATATATAGCCCCATCCTGGATTGGAAATTCACACCCATGATGGGTAATACTAGTATGGAACAAGGTACTTATTAGCATGCATACAGGGGTCAGTGTTAAAGATGTATGCTATGATGAATGATTCAATGAGAATAACTTTGCTGCATGGTGGTAAGTAATTAACTGTGACTCTATCATCAAGTAGGGCTTGAAATCTGGTTCTCATTAAAAAAAAAGGAAAAGTCCTAACAACCGCGAAACTAGGGGATTGTCAAAAACATTTCTATAAAAACTTGGTTAAGCCAAAATCCATTATTTTCAAAAAAAAATAGTCGCCCAAAAGCCTACCAAAAAATCCATGTCGGAACTAACAATGTCATTCTATCGGATAGAAAAAGGTGTGAACTATATTAAATATGTTATTAGCGTTATTTAAAAAAAAAACACACGGATGAGTAATTCTGATGGAGATTTATGGTGTTACTATAGGTTACTGTTAATAGTGGTAAATGTGAGTAATTTAGGCTAAAACTTAGGTTTTAGTTTTGGAATTTTGGTTACTTTTCATTATCATGGCAAATTGAATAATACCAATAATATTTAGGGGTTACTTTAGGTTAATATTCATCATAATGGCAGAGGCAAGTAATTAATTGGCAAATCGAATCCAATGATTATTGTTGCCAATAATGATAGAGAATAGAATGGATGGTTAGATACTGTATTTTGAAATTCTAATGCTTCTCCATTTTCTAGCGTGTCTTGCGAGAATTATTTAACATAGGGTTTGCAATTAGTAAAAGTAAAATAAGATGGACACAACTTCTCCTTGCCCTCCAATTTCTTATGAATTCGGTGCTGATCATTTGGCTAAAATGCATCCTACCTTTCGGATATGTTACATTTACTCTGCATCGAAAAGTATTATGAGCGTGTCTTGTACCTTTGATATGACATAAATTAGTTGATCCGACTATAGGCTAGTTATGACAAAGCTATATATATATATATATATATATATATATATATATATATATATATATATATATATATATATATATATATATATATATATATATATATATATTCAATAGCCGGCTACAAAAATAAGTTATTCCGTAGCCACCTCCGTTTACGATAATTTTATATACTAATTTACGATAATGTCGATACATATTTACGATAGTTGGGTTACTATAACACATGGGGATATTTACCATAACGTTATAGTAAACCACTTAGTATGGAGTTACTATAATCTCATAAATTAACATAGTAATTATCGTAACTCAAAGTGGCTACATAATAAATTATTTTATAGCCAGCTACAGAATAGTAGTTATATATAACAACCAGGAACTCGGTCCATAATAAGTTGTGAGATGCTTCGGCTCCAAGGGTTGTTCTCTGCAAAAGGCATATGAAACACTCAACATATACATATATTACTTTATAATGTTATACACTCAATTGGCTAGCTACATGCCAGTTCCATGGTGCAAGGTTTACTCTAGTGTTAATTAAGCACTATTTAGGCATCGGAGGTATCATGTTATTCATTTTCACATCGAGTTTGTATATGAGATTCCTGTTGGTAGTTTTTTTGCACGTAAGATACTGGCGCTCCGTCAGGCTGAGACAGTACACCCATGTGCCTCCTCTTTTGCGCTAGAGCCTCGTCGTTTGCATTGCTCAAAGTTGTTCGACTCTGAAGCCTAGGTTACTGTTTGTTGAATGTGTACGTGGTGCAACTATGCATTAATGTAGCATGCACCTGTTGTAATGGGGTGATCTAATGATTTTGTAGCTTGACTGGGCAGCATATAGAGTTGGGTCATGTACATGTACTTAAACTCGTCACTCATCATTGCAAATGTGTGTTGGATAGATTGCAAGACAGAGAAAAGTACTCACTCCATTTCAAATTATAAGACATTTTGGCTAATCTAGATACTTTGCTTTGACTAGGTATCTAGACGTAGTGTGTATCAAGTGCATAGTAAAACCTATATATATGTACCTGGAAAATCCAAAACGTCTTACAATTTGGAATGTAGGAAGTATTGATTAGTTGTAATATTCTGCCCTGATGCCACCCAAGTAAAGTGGCCATAAAAAAAAGTGGTTGTGATTGAAACTCGTTGTCTACAATGATAGAAAGTGGTGTCACCTAAATAACCCATACCTAGATGCCACCTACAACGGTCTTTATAAGGAGATGCCATTGAACCAAAAAAATACTGAAGAGCATTTTTGCCTAGTAGCATCGTGCTGTCTAGGAGACAGGTTTTTATGAGAGTGAAATGCAAAGAACTAAGTGTATTGCAACACAACATGTAGTAATGTAGGCAATGGAGGCATTTGGAACCACCATACTTTCGTGAACTCTGTTTCACTGTCTATCAACCAATGTATCCGGTCATTGGCATCTCCTTTAGAGTCGCTGTGTGCTTGCAGTGGTACATATGGTCTAGGGGTTGAGTGCAAGATATCGATCCTGGGTACCACCGCTTCTTCGATTGGATCTGATCGTCGTTTCACCATACGATGATCAAGGATATTAGAAAGCAAGATATATGTAGCGCACAACGAGGGATCATGGCGGAGGAGTGGATACATTATTTGACCGGACTTCATCCTCTGTTTGTCCACTAGTCTAGTTTAAGTGTGTATGTAGCAGTAGTTTCTTGTGTGTTCTTAAACGCTAAGCCTCGATGGAGAATGCAATGAAAAGAACTAGGCATGTTATAAAACGCAGCATCTAGGCAGTGGGAACCACAGCATTTTAGTAAGCTCTGCTTGGCTCAACATCTCGAGGGATTGAGGCGGAAGGAGTGGATACGTTCTGTGAGCAGAACGCTTCTCCTGCTCCACTAGTCCAGTTTGGTAGATGCTGCGTGCATCTCCAAGTATTCATGCCTTCTTTATGAGTGTTGCGGATATAATACACGAATTGCACTTTGTGCGAGTGTGCATATATATTAACATGTAAGGCAGTAAGAAGACGGAAAAAAAAACCATAAGAATCCCAGATCAAGTGAGAAATATGATTCTTTCAGCCTTACAGGCGGGAGGGTATGCCCTGGTATGACGCTGGGACTAGCCAATTATTAACATATGGAGTTGGTGCTCGCTAGTCTTGTTTTTTTTTTTTTTACTTTGATTGAGAGCAGCCCGGTGAACCCAAGCCTGAAGAACTCGACATGAGAGTCCTTTGGTATAACAGTAAGAAGGAAACCAGGGCTCTGGCTCATTTTTTTTTGAAAGTAAATGGGCCCTGGCTCATGCCCAAACCTCACATTAGTTTCGTGTAAGTATCAAATTAACTAGTTCGTATGTGCTCTAAAAAATAACTAGAACTATACATGTTTTCAGATAGTTTTTTTAATCAATAACGCCAAGTTGCTTGATCTGTGACGATTAAGAGTACGTAAGATTATAAATTATTATATGTGTTCGTACTAGAAGACCGAAAAAAGCTTGAATTACAATATATTGTAAAATGCACAATAACTCTCCCTCTGTTCTACCATACATGTTCATGATCTCGGAAGAAAACATTCCAGAACCCTTGTCCATTGAGGATATACGAAGAGTGAAACAAGTATTTTTACCCCTAATTAAATACTTCGATAGAAAAAAATGCTTGTACTATTTCATTAAATAGGGGTATGGATGATCATTTCACATTATTTTTCACTAAAAGTTAAACCAAAATTTTCTTGGTTTATGCACATGGCGTACCATGGACAAGTACCGTAAAACAGAGAAAAGTATTGATTAGTTATTCGGATACCCTAACTCTTCGGTAGGAGATATAGGTCTTTACAAGGAAATGCCATTGAACCCAAAAAAAATACTCAAGGGCATTCTTGCCTGGTAGATCATGCTAGCTAGGAGACAGGTCCTTATGAGAGTGCATTGCAAAGAACTAGGCATATTACAATGTAACATATAGTCATGTAGGCAAGGGAGGCATTTGGAACCACAATATTTGAGCAAACTCTGGTTCACTCTCTATCAACAATGTATCGGGTGCTGAGATGGGCAGTTTAGCTGTGCTTGCAGTGGTACATAGGTCGAGGGGTTCAATGCAAGATATCCTGGGTATCACAACCTCTATGCTTGGATCTGACTGTCGTTTCACCATCCTATAGGTCCTATTTGGTATAGTTTATCTGAAAAGTGCTTCCCAGATAAGCTGCACAAATAGAGTAAAAACGGTGGTCAAAATAAGTTGGTTTGATTTAGTTTCTGTTTTTAAGTACAAATGAGAGCGGTGAGAATAAGCGCGGCGAAATAAGCTAAAAAAAAACGTCCCATTTGGCTGTTGGTTTCAACTTATTTTGGCTATAAGCAGCTTATAAGCTGTACCAAACAGGCCGTAGTCAAGAACGTTAGAAATCAATCCAATAGTCAAGAACATTAGGTAAATGCTGTGTGCATCATAAATTTGATGCCTTCATGCCTTCCACATATGTTGCGGATACCACAAGAATATTGCTTAGTATTCAGGGACACTCGTCTGGTAGTTTCTTCTGTGTTCTTGAACGCTAAGCCTAGTAGGAGAATGCAAAGAAGAGAACTAGGTATATTACAACGCAACATGCAGGCATAGGCCACAGCATTTTAGTAAGCTCTGCTTGAGTCTGCGGCCTCAACATGAAAAAAAAAAAAGAAGAGAACCCCATAAAAATCCCAGGGTGTGAAATAGGATTCTTCCAGCTAAGCAAACAGCATTCGTTAGTCATATTGTAGCCACGCTGCTGAGAAACATATATTTGACAAATGGGCACCAATGTAGCACATATGTTATGAAGTTGATATCCGATTCTTAAGAACTTTGTTTCACAGCCTGAGCCTCTGCGGCAGCCATGGGATCCGCTGTCTCTTCTTCTTTCTCGCCCTCCCTCTCTGCGGCCAGTTTCTCCCTGTGCAGCTTCTCTGCTGCCTGCATTGCATCACGGTGCTCTGCCTGCAGCCGCTGCATCTCCTCTTCCTGCTGCTGCCTCTCGAACCAAGTGTCCGCATCGGCCCAAACTGAACACAAATAAAACATACTTGTGAGCAATAAGGTTATGGGTTGCTAGCAATCAATGCTGACAAAACACTCAGATGAAGCTTAAACCCCCCCATACCAGTCATTTTCTAAATGTCTACAAGCTCAAAATAATTGAAGCATAGACAGCAAAGGGACAATCTAGCTATTCTGGATTTTCTTTTGGGTCTTACTAAGCAATAAGTAATACAACAGATCCACAAATAATGAAAAAAAATATGCAACTTTTTGGACAAGAGATAAAGAGAATCAACAGTAGGTTTTTAATGCACTTTCAATTGGCTTGATTGGAAGTCAAGTGCTATTGCCAATTTACTATCATCTGAGCATAACAAATTTACAATGTTAAAATGAAAGTTAGTATAAAAATTTCAAGGGAATAATTACAATCATTCTACAGGGCAAGAGTTCATCAGACCATAAACTATAATAAATGCTTCTTCCGTGTTTTTTCTTTTTCAGTTGCAAGGGCCAAGGGATACAAACGTTTATTTCAGCAGCTCGGAAGCCTAAAAGTTACCATTGTCAGTTTTTTCTTCTCCCTTTGTTTATCAATATTATATACAGTAAGGGTACTCCCCAACCGATTTCACCAAAAATAATAACCACTAACTGATTTCACGCAGACAGCCCATTCTGCAATCAATATGGGGAATTCTAACAAATATGACATGTGTAAATGTGATTTTAGCTTTAGGACCAACAATGGTGTATAGGACAATAGAAAACTAAAAAATGTATAACCTGAAACCTGTCCTATCCCTACCCTCTTATGTCAATAAAGAACTGTCATTGTGTATTACTCTACGTTAGTTAAAACTCTGTTCCACACTCATAACTCACTCTTTGTCAGACTGTATAAACTCTTTTTTCTACTAAACTAATTTATTGAGCTACATGAAAAAATCAATGATATAGGCATCAGGTCAGGTCAGAACCTTGGTGCCAAATTATAGTTACTGACCCTGTAGAGATGGTCAGTTCATCCGGTGAATGGTACAACATGTGGACCAATGGTTAAAGTAGGAGTTCAAAATATTATAGTTAAATACTTTTAAATTTGAAACCTGTAAATGTTTTATTTATATGCAATTGTACTAACCTCAATATAGCTCAAAGCACGGACAGGATTGTCACCCAAATAAGAACAGTGGTAACAATTCATTGCTCAGATGGTTGTCACCCAATGTGGGCACTAGGGCATGGACGGGTGAGGTTGCAAGTTCAATCCTCTAGACAGTATTACAGTAAACCATTGAGACATATTAAAACCACATTTTCCCCGGAGTTTTCCACTAAATGATCCTTTAGGTAAACAGAACCAGACCTGGCTCTGTATCAGACTATTTTCCAGTTGAACAAGCAAACCACCCTAGCGATATTGCAATCCAGAGCGTCACTTCATGTAATTTGAACTACAGTACTACACCTAAGTTAAGGTTCAGATAATGGAGCCCTGGCAGTAAAACAGCTGTCCTTACCTTGAGACAGCTTAGATTAGGATAGGGAGGATGATAATATGTCATGAGCAACCTACCCCAATCCATCCTGGGTCTCCAGATTGAAAAAAAAAATGGTGTAATAAAGCAGCTTGAACAATAAACATAAGCGTATGCAAAACAATTTCCATTATCTACTAAAATCACTTCAGCAGTTCCAACAAATGCTATTGATCAAGGTAACATGCTGGCTCAACAGCTAGTCAACTAACCTATGTGGTTGGATAGGTCCTATTACTAGCTTCACCTCTAATGAAGGATAAGGTGATGAACAACAGCGGCAATGGCAACTGCATTATGTATGTGTATGTGTATTAACTATTAACTTAACCGCTGATGGACGATAAGAAGATATCTAGGTTCCATTCTCTATGTGTATTCGGTGCTACTCTACTTTTATCTATGTACCTTTCTCTATGTGCGTTCTCTATGTACCTTTGAATTGAAAAGCAAAAACCTAAGCTGATTGGATTACTAGAGAACACCAATGAACTGCCGCACCATGGAAACCATAAACTGCATTACTATTAGCACACTGTAATGTAATGAAGATAAAACCTCACAACTCTGAACTATCTTCCTAATTATCATATAGCACAGAAGTATTTCTTTCCTTCTGCAATGCTGGCCATAAGATGTAAACTGAAAAAAATGGAATATTCCAGACCATAACAGAGATTTTAACACAGTGGTTTGAACCAAACCATGTAGGGTTTTTACCACAAAACCAATTCTGATAACTACAAGGCCCTAAAAGTTACAAAGCACAAACAACTGTTTATCTGTTCATTGTTTCTAAGTACAAAACTTTATAAAAGAATGCTTAAAATCAACAAATCAAGATCTTATACACAAAGAACAGCCATCAACCACAACTTGTTGACATTTGAACAATTGAGTTCAAGCACAAGGATCCATCTTGCTTGTGCATTTAGGAAGAGATTTTGTTATAGTCGGAGACAAAAGTGGCCACGTACGATAACATCCAAAAATCTGTAGAACTGTACTGGTATATATCTTGCTTGCGCATAGAAAGAGATTTTGTTATAGTTGAAGACAGACGGCCTGTTCGCTTGCTCGTAAACGATCGTAAATTTCCAGCCGGAAACAGTGTTTTTCTCTCACACCAAACCAGCCAGCAGTAAATAATTCACGATACGATACGGCCTCCCGAACAGGCTGAGAAGTGGCCGCATATATGAATAACATCCAAAAATCTGTAGAACTGTGCTGGTATATACGTGATGGAGCATTTATTTCAGCATTCACTTTTCACAAACATCCACATTTTCCCCCAGAAAACTACTGCGAGTCCCAATTTTATGCATTCTCACTTTTCAGTTCCAATTTTATGCATTCTCACTTTTCCCCCAAGAACACAGCTATAAATTGTACTAATGCGACCCTAGTATTTATATTACCTAAAAATCATAAGCAATTTCCTCACCCTTAATGTTCCAACCATGCTTTTGAACCGAATTACAAACATTTTTTTTGTAAAGAGTTATGGCAGTCCTTGCCCTAATAAGTTAGTCAGGCAACCAAAACAATCAATCGAGCAGCTGCTAAGGCAGGGCACGACCAAGTGAGGAAGCAAAAGGAAGACGGTGAGAAAGAGGAAACGGAAGGCTCACTTGGCTGGGCAGCCCATCCCTGCTCCCCTCCCTTGATGCGCTCGGGGAAGGCGTAGTTGACGGTGAGCACGCGGCCGAAGAGCTCGGCGCCGTCCATGTTGTCCATGGCAGCGGCGGCGTCCTCGCGCTCGAGGAAGGTGACGAAGCCGAAGGAGCGGTGCTTCTGCGTGGACTGGTCGAGCGGCGTCTTGACGTCCTTGACCTCGCCGAAGGGCACGAACGCGGCGTGCAGGATCTTCTCGTCCACCTCCTCCGCCAGCCCACCTGCGCCATCAATCAAGGTCGAGGAAGCTCGGATTACTCCACGCGCACGGGGAATTCGTCCATCCGTTGGACGACCCACGACCAAGGAAGTACAAGGTCCTGTCGAGTATTCTTGCTGAGGAATTTCGTCGAGCAGGTGACGCGCGCGGCCACGAAGGTGGGGAGATTGGACATGGTGACGCGCGCGCGCGCTTGGAAGAGGAAGGGGAGGTGGGCTTACCGACGTAGAGGGTGTTCTTCTGCACGGGCTGGTTCATGTCTCCGGCGGCGAGGTAGGCTGGTGCGCCCGGAAGAGGGGATCGAGACAGGAAGACGGGGGGTGTCTGGCTTGGGGTTTTGGCTTCTCTGCTCGCTGGACGGAGAAGGAACTGGAAGATCCGGATTGTATACGGTATTTACTCTTTTTTTAGTCGGAGTCGACCAGAACCTTACTAGGCCTAAACAGTTGGCCAAACTTGCGAGGTGCAAAGTTTGCACAGTGTAAGATTTTTTACTGTAGTATTTCATTTGTATTTATGAATTATTATCTAACATTAACTAATTAGGTTCAAAAGATTCGTCTCGCAAAGCATAATTAAACTGTGCAATTAGTTTTTGATTTCGTCTATATTTAGTACTCCATACATATACCGTAAATTTGATGTGACGAAAAATCTTCTTTTTACATAGTGCATTTTTCAAGAGTTTGAAAAAAGCTAAACATGGCCTAGTCATCTACTCCAGTATCAGATACCAATTCTAGAGACTGAAGTACCATTTCCTTAGAAGTTAGAAGTAAAACTCCAAGTTCCAGCAGATTTCCTGTGTGCTATGCTTCTTTCTGGGTGGTATCAAATCGCTGTTTCATTGATTTGGTTCCTTCTTTCAGCACTTGGAATTGATAGTAGCATCATTACCATTCAGACTATGACGCAGTGGGAGACCCTGAATCAGATCAACAACAACAAAGCCTTTAAGTCCTAAATAAGTTGAGGTAGACCAGAGTTGAAACCCAGTAGAAGCAATCAAGGTTCAGACACGTGAATAACTGTTTTTCAAACACTCCTATCTAAGGCTAAGTCTTTGGATATATTCCATCATTTCAAGTCTCATTTTATTGCCTCTACCCAAATCAACTTCGGTCTTCCTCTGCCTCTCTTCACGTTACTATCCTGGCTTAGGATTCCACTATGCACCGGTGCCTCTAGAGGTCTCCGTTGGACATGTCCAAACCATCTCAACCGGTGTTGGACAAACTTTTTTTCAATTGGTGCTACCCCTAATCTATCACGTATATCATCGTTCCGAACTCGATCCGTTCTTGTATGACCGCAAATCCAACGCAACATACGCATTTCCGTGACACTTATCTATTGAACATGTCGTCTTTTTGTAAGCCAACATTCTGCACCATACAACATAGCAGGTCTAATCGTCATCCTATAAAACTTGCCTTTTAGCTTCTGTGGTACTCTTTTGTCACATAGGACATTAGATGCTTGGCGCCACTTCATCCACCTTGCTTTGTCACATAGGACACCAGAGACCCTGAATCAGATGGCCTAGAAATTTGGGAGCCTTGGCAAGTCTGATGGAAAATTGGCCTTGAAGATACTGAGTTCTATTGTGGAGCGATCAGGTTTAGACCGAATTACCTACATTTACTGTATGGCTGTTCCAATTCTCATCCAGGCTCAAATGCATTCGCAAGCAATGTCAGTGTTGAAGCATCTTGCTGTGACGGGCTTCTCCTGCACTGCTATTTTTACCTCCCTCTTGCGGATCATTTCACGTTTTGATTCCACCAACCATGTTGTTTTTGAACTCCTTGTCAAAGCATATGTCGAGGAAAGAAAAGTCCTCGATGCAGCTGTGGCAGTTCTCTTTATGGATGATTGTGGCTTTAAGGCTTCACCTGTTTCTTGCAATACCATCCTTAATGATCTTGTGGAGAAAGGGGAATCAAAGCATGTTTGGTTGTTCTTGAGAGAGAGTTTGGCCCGTAAGTTTCCTTTGGATGTTACCACTTGCAATATTCTTCTGAATTCCCTATGCACCAATGGAGAATTTAGAAAGGCTGAAGATATGCTTCAGGAGATGAAGAGCTGTCACCTATCTAATTCTGTCACTTATAATACAATACTACATTGGTATGTTAAGAAGGGAAGATTTAAGGCTGCCCTGTGTGTTCTAGAAGATATGGAGAGGGATAGTATACAGGCAGATATATATACCTACAACATCATGATAGATAAATTGTGTAGAATAAAGAGGAGTGCACGTGCTTTCCTTTTGCTCAAAAGAATGAGGAAAATGACTTAACACCTGATGAATGTACCTATAATACTTTGATCAATGGGTTTTTTGGTGAAGGTAAGATAAATCATGCTCGCTATGTCTTTAATCATATGCTGAGACAAACTTTGGTTCCAAGTGTAGCTACTTACACTAGAATGATTGATGGGTACTGCTGGAACAGGAGAATTGATAAGGCCCTAAGTGTTCTGTCGGAAATGCAAATTACTGGTGTCATGCCAAGTGAACTGACTTATAGTGCTTTGTTGAATGGTTACTGCAAAGTTTCCATGCTGGGACCTGCTCTAGATCTTATGGAAGATCTGAAATCAAGAGGTATAACCATCAATAAGACTATGTGTACTATTCTCATTGATGGTTTCTGTCAAGTGGGTGAGATTTCCAAGGCTAAGCAAATTTTGAAGAGTATGCTTGAGGATGGAATTGATCCAGATGTCGTCACTTATTTAGCATTGATCAATGGTATGTGCAGGATGGCTAAGATGAATGAAACAAAAGAAATTTTGTCAAGGATGCAGAAAAGTGGAATTTTACCTAATGATGTGCTATATACAACTCTGATTTGTTACTATTGTAAGGCAGGGGATGTCAAGGAAGCACTAAAGCATTTTGTGGACATTTATCGAAGGGGGTGAGTTGCCAATCCAGTTATCCATAATGCATTATTACGTGCTTTCTATAGAGAGGGAATGATTACAGAGGCTGAACACTTCAGACAATACATGTCTAGGATGAATATATCATTTGATCCTTTAACTGCGTAATTGATAGTTATTGCCACAGAGGTAACATAGTTGAGGCATTTTCAGTTTATGATGATATGGTTAGATATGGCCATTCTCCAAATGTTTGCACATATCAGAATTTGCTTAGAGGATTATATCAAGGAGGCCACTTGGTACAAGCAAAGCAGTTTATGTTCTGTCTTCTTGACATACCTTCTGCTATTGATAAGAAAACTTTCAATGCACTACTTCTTGGGATTTGCAAATATGGAACCCTAGATGGAGCTTTGGATATATGCGAGAAAATGGTAAAAAACAACTGCTTACCTGATATCCATACCTACACCATTCTTCTCAGTGGTTTTTGCAGGAAAGGAAAGATTTTGCCTGCGTTAGTCATGTTGCAGATGATGTTGGAGAAAGGAGTAGTCCCTGATACTGTTGCATACACCTGCTTGGTGAATGGGTTGATCAATGAAGGCCAAGTGAATGCTGCTTCTTATGTTTTCCAGGAGATCATATGCAAGGAAGGCCTGTATGCAGATTGTATTGCCTATAATTCATTGATGAATGGGTACCTCAAGGGTGGAAACGTGAATACTATAAAAAGGATGATGTCTGATATGTATCAGAATGAGGTTTATCCAAACTCTGCTACTTATGCATGGGTACGTCAAGAGGAGATAATTTTCGAAGTCCTTATATCTGTACAAATATATGGTGAGGAAAGGAATCATGCCAGACAATGTTACATATCAGCATGCATTTCATGAGGATGAATATCACAGCAACACATGCCCGCTTGGCCTTTTCGCAAACACATAACTTAATTTGTATTTATTCATCTTAACAAAAAAGTTTAAGCAGGAGAATATTTTTTTGCTCTGTTCTTATGCAGTGGAGAGAACACTTCATCAAGGGTAAGATGTAAGAACTGCAACTTCTTCCTTTGTCCTATTCTGCGAATGGTATGGTGTCCAGCAGTGGACCTTTCTAAGAGATTTGGAGTGTGGGCGTGTGTTGTAAGGGCGCTTGCTCCTTTTTTCTTCTTAATATAAAGATACGTAGCTCTGCTGTGTGTTCGAGAAAAAAAAACAGTGGACCTGCAGAGGAACCCACCCCTTTGCTCTTTTCAAATTGCTCACACAGTTTTTTGGCAGCAAAAAAAAAATCAAGTCACCAACTTTAAACTTGTCAACCAAAGTTGCCCACTTATCACCGAGTTGAATAAAGAATCAATTTCCCGTGCATGCCTTGTAACTATATTCATCTTAATATAAGAAATTAGTGGGATCTTGGATTTGCCAATTCCAAATTAAAAGTTTGGTCATAGTTCAGTTCAGTTCTAGCATCTTGAATCCGTCGAGAGAAAATTTGGGTCTTGTTAAGCTAACTTCTCGAATCTGACAGGACGCCTAGTTGCTGGCTGTCGACACTTCGTGGAGGAGCAGGGAGCTTACTCACCAGTCGTTTCAGTGGGATGTACACGCGACCGCACCACCAGATACAATGTTGCTCGGTTGCTCCGAATGTAACCAAACTGAATGTTTCGCATGATTGGTGTTCAAATGTTTTAAGTTAATGAATGTTCGACATTATATATCAGAAAAATTGTGGTCATATTATTTTGAAATTTTTCTGTGACCAGGATGAGTTCTTCACAACCAAAATCGTTATTACCACCAAAATATATGTAGCCATAAAATTGTCATTCAAACCACAAATGAGAAAACCAGGTGTGTTTTTTTCTACATGAGAAAACCGGCCACGTGACCTAGGGGTTTGAGATATGTAAGGTAGTAAGTAACCGGGTCAGAGTTAAATATGAACAGAAAATTTGACCTTTTTTTAGATTAACAGGAAATTTGACCTGTACATGTGGTCGTGAGGGGAAAATGATCGTGGAAAAAAAAAATCCAGCCGTGAGCGTCCATCGGTCGTGGGAAAAAAGATCGCGTGCAGGGTGCGCTGGGCTGCGGCCTGCTGGGGCGCGCGGGGTGGGCTCGCGTGTGTTTGCGGGTATGGGAGTCCTGATTTTTTTTTTTGATAACCGGGAGTCTTTACCCATAGCGGTAAATATTTCCTCTGTCAAAAAAAAATGTAACTGTAGGTTGCGTGTCAATTAAAGTGGTTCACTTTTAAACAAGGCCTGTTTTGCGGGTTGGTCTTTGGTCTGTTTTTTTTTTTTTATAACCGGGAGTCTTTACCATAGCGGTAAATACTTCCTTTCTCTAAAA